GGTCCTAGGCTAGGAACACTGAGCATGAGATTTCTGTGATGAATGTCAATAAATCAAAAGTAGCTTTGCAACTTACAGATGCACACCTGAACAGCATACTCAAGATTGCTACGGCACAGACATCTTGATGCAATAATTCAGAGGTGTCAGTTATCAGACACTGTTAAATAGACAAAGTATTGCAAGAGTGCTAGTGTTTTAAGCATGTTTTTATTTAAAGTTTTTTTTAAAAAATCTTTAATTGTGTTTGTCTGTGTCCTTTATAAAGTTTATATCTCCGCTACCTGGCATTACATTTCATGACACACATGGCCCGGCCCAGTCAGGTCTCATTTATGTCAGATCCAGCCCTCGTAACAAATGAGTTTGACACCCCTGCCCCATAGGGTTTTCAAAGCAAGAGACATTCACAGGTGGCTTTGCCATTGCCTGCCTCTGTGTAGCAACCCTGGGCTTCCTTGGTGGTCTCCCGTCCAAATATGAATGCTTGGCTTCATAGATCTGACGAGATCAGGCTAGATTGGGCTGTCCAAGTGTAGCTGTGGTTTTATTGATCCATGACCAAGTTCTGTTTTAAAAACTCCTCTAATCCTGGAGTAAAGAATTGTGCTGTTAGCTTCAGGTACGTCCCCTCGCATCTCTGGCCTGAATTACCATAAATATCTCCTCTGTTGACTCCACTTAATCCTTCAGCTATTTATGTGAGTGTCCAATTTATGGCACAGGCAGCTGGAGCATTAATTGGGTTTGCATCCCTTCTCCTTGCCTGTCCCTCGTCCGGTTCTTCCCTGCTTCTCTGCAAGGTGGATGAGAGGCCAAAATCAGAGCAAGGCACTGTGGGTGCAGAGTAGCACCTTCTTGTATTTTTCAAGAAGGTTGACTGTCACTGAGTTAAAAGGCTGGGATTTTTAATTTTTTTTTTTTTTTAAGCACAACTGCATTAAGAATCCATTGAGAATCTGGATTTTTCTTGTCTGCTTGTAAAGTAAAAAAAATGTAAATAAATCATGATTCTCATACTAATCTCATTCCCAGACGTATTCTAAATGTACAATAAGATGTGATTTTTGGAAGGGTGATAACTGTAGCATCTTTTCAACTTAATACAGAGGAGGAAACCCATCCAGTGGATCTGAGTTCTCTCTCAAGTAAACTGTTGCCTGGTTTCACGGCGCTGGGGTTTAAAGATGAAAGGAGGCACAAAGGTAAGGGTGTACCTTTGGTTACTGCGGCATTTAGAACCATGTCTTCCTCTGAGGCATGTGCCTTTCTACACGCCCAGGCTGGTCTCCTCATAACTTCCATGCAGTTGTAAAACCAACAGATGAACACAGAATGTGACTTCATTTGGATGTTTGTAGCACTCAGTTACCCAGTACCTCAGGCCTGTAGCCACCAGGATTTTGAAATTCGGGGGACCTTTAAATAAGTTGGAGGGCACTGACATCACAAAATAAAAAATAAAATAAAAATTTTTAAAACTCACTTTTGTGACATTTGCACTCTGCTTGCCTACACGGGGAAACAAGCCACCTTGGGGAAGGGGCGGCGGTGGGGAGTCCTCCAGGCAGCCCACAGAGTTGGGAGTCCTCCAGGAGGCCCAGAGAGCGGGGGGGGGGGCTGGGGGCTGGATGGAAGTCAGGGGGCCTTGGCAGGAAGTCAGGGGGCCAGGCCTCGAAATGCCCCACTGTAGCTACAGATCTTGTCCATGGGGTCGCGAAGAGTCGGACTCGACTGTGCGACTGGACAACAACAAAAAAGCTACAGGAGGCCCAGAGAGCGGGGGGGGGGGGCTGGATGGAAGTCAGGGGGCCTTGGCAGGAAGTCAGGGGGCCAGGCCCCGAAATGCCCCACTGTAGCTATGGGCCTGCCAGTACCTGCTGGTTCACACCTGAATGTCTCTTGAAAATCAAGTGGTCAGATGAAGTGGTTATGACCGTTCTGTTTGGTCAGCTCATTCACACACACAGATCATGGGTCACCACTTGCTGCCGAAGTCATCAAGTGTTGCATTTGCTTGTGTGAACAGACTCTGAGAAATACAACCATTCTATACAAAAAGAGATTCCATACACTTTTTTTCTTTTATTTTCAGTTACCTTTCTTTCAAGCAACAATTCAGGTCTTTCGATGCAAAACCACTCTGTATTTCATGACCTGAAAGCAGATGAAATGGAACTGCTGTATTCAGCATACGGCGATGAAACTGGAATCCAGTGTGCCTTAAGGTAAGCATGTCATAAGGCAACATTGAAAACCACAGATACTTCCTTGGTGTTGGTACTTGTCACATGAGCATAAAGGTTGAAGGGGTGTTAGGAATGGGGAAGCCTGCTCATTAGGATAAAGTCATGCCAGAGTTAAGAAAAAACAAAGGGCGCTTTCACACACACTAAACGCACTTTCAATCCACTTTCAATGCCCTTTGCAACTCGGTTTTATTGTGTGAAATGGCCAAATCCACTTGCAAACAGTCGCTGAGGTGGATTGAAAGTGCATTATTTAGCGTGTGTGAAAGCACTAAAAGTGTTGCAACTTCAGATTCCATCTGAGGGCAGAAGGGTATTTAAAGGTCTTCTAAAAAAACAGGGTTTCGGGACATTGTGGAGATCTAGGATGGCCGAGGCTAGCCCAACCTTGTCCGGTCTCAGAAGCTAAGCAGGGTCGACCCTGGTTATTAATTGGATGGGAGACTTGCAGGGAAGTCCGCAATTGCTATACGGAGGCAGGCCATGGCAAACTACCTCCGAATGTCTCTTGCCTTGAAAACCCCATGAGGTGGTTGCCAGACGTCCATAGTGACTTGACAGCACTTCCCACCACCAATGTACAAACTGGCATGCATTCTGTTAAATATGCATTTGTTGCATTTGTCCAAAATTTTATCTAGCTTGCAAGAATTTGTGAAAGATTCCGGAAGCTACAGCAAAAAAATAGTGGACGACTTGCTGGATCAGATTACTGGAGGCGATCACTCAAAAACCATCTATCAACTAAAGCAGGTAAGGCCAAAATTATGGGAAAGTGCGAGCGTCTACACTTGGAGCGGGTCCCCGAGCTGCCCCCTCAAGGGACTAGTTGTAAAAGCAGCTTTTTATTGAGCTCATTGAATAGCGGACAATAGAACTGGTTGGAGACTCTCACAGGAACGCCAAACTGTTTTTTGAGATTGTGAACACGGTTTGCATATTTGAACTCTTTCATAAAGTTGTGCTTTAACAAACGAACTTTGTCTGATCAAGGGTGGTCAGAGAGGCACAGGAGACGGTGGTCCTGTACTTTTTATTTATTAAAATTATTTTTTATCCCATTTTGCCAACCGTCAGTTTGCTCAAAGTCGCAACTGGTCCAGAATATATAAAAGCAACCAACAATAAAGACTAAAATTACCAGCAGTCGCTAGATCTGAAGAAGCAAGCAGCGATTCACAAAAGCTCTTCCCCTGCCACAAATTTGGTTAATCTTTAAAAGCTGCGGTGGCTCAAGTGTTTAAGACGCTGAACTGCAAGCTGGAAGGTCGGTAGTTCAGCAGTTCGAGACCCAAGTGCCACATGACAGAGTGAGCTCCCATCTCTGACCCCAGCTCCTGCCAACCTAGCAGTTTGAAAGCAAGAAATTGCAAGTAGATAAATAGATACCACTTCGGTGGGAAGGTAACAGTGTTCCGTGCACCTTGGCGTCTAGTCATGCCGGCCACATGACCACGGAAACGTCTTCGGACAGCACTGGCTCTTCGGCTTGGAAATGGAGATGAGCATCGCATCCCTAGAGTCGGATTTGACTGGCTTTCGAGCAAGGGAAACCTTAAGATGCTACCGGACTCTTGCTCTTCAGTATCTGAGGAAGTGAGCAGTGACTCACGCAAGCTCCTCCCCCGCCACAAATTTTGTTAGTCTTTAAGGTGCTCCTGGACTCTTGCTCTTTTCTTTTCTTTTCTTTTTTGTAAGTTATATTTATTTCAGTTTTCTTATGCATTACATCATGCATACATGTTACTTCCAAATATCTCAACAGAGTCATCATAGTCACAGTTTTTCTTTTCTACTGTAGCTTTAAGGTGTGAAAATGGGGCGCTATCCGTGGCCTGTGTAAATAGCATCCCCTGGTAAGGAACATCCCGTTGAGCCGGTTATTGGCAGCCCTCCTGTGATGCCTGGCTGTGGAAGCTGAGCAGGACGCAGGCTGAGCAGGATGACTTTCGTCCCAAGGGATGCCGCCAGAACAGCAGTAGGGCCTCCACCCCTGTGCCTGTCCTGTCCAGCCTCCCTACTGGAGGGAGAGGGCAAGGAGGGAAATTGCAGCCACCAGTGGAGAAGAGGAGAGAGAAGGAAATGCCGCTTCCAAATCGGCACCTCACAAGTCAAGGGCACTTTTTAAAGTATAAGATGGTTGGTTGTGGTGGCAGTCGATGGGCCATCTTTTTCTTCGCCCCCCTCCTCCATTGAGGGGAAGGGCTAGGGGGCAGGGCCCTTCCCAGGGCTGTTTTTGCTTCTCTGTCCGCCCCCGAATGGCCAGTGGTAGGGGAGAACGACAGAACACTGATCCAAATATGGATTTTGTGTAAAGTCACCTCTAGCCTTGTGCTTCCTTTAAAAATAATGTCAGTTCCCCTTTTGTAATGTTCTCAGGCAACGTGCCTCCTCCGTAGTACAACAACACCCAGTCGTTGTTTATGGAACGGCTTTATTTTGGTAGAATGAGATGCCAGGACGGAGGGTAAAGAACAACATCACACCATCCGAGAGTCACCTGACCCTCCCGATTGTATCAGGTTAAATACATTCCACTATAATGGGAAATCACCTACTTAAAGGTACAAACACATCACACCTTTTAAAAATGGCCCGTATCAATTCGTATTCAAAGATATTTTTGTTCCTTTTTTCTGTCCCAAGTTTTCTGTCTCAAGTTTCTACAGGTTTTTTCTTTAAAAAAAAGATTTTTTAAAAAAGTTGCTTGAAATAGTTTTTAACAGAAATATTCTGTGTACACCAAATAAGCCTATCGTTGAATGAAAATTGTTGTAAAGCATCAAGAAGGGAAAAGACGGAAGGTTTGTTCCTTTGCTGAATTGTTTTTAATGTAATTTTTCAGAGGAGAAACATTCCGGTGAAGCCACCAGATGAAGTCAAGGTAAGTTGTAAGACATATAAATATACATCCACCTTTAAAAAAAAAATTTATAACAATGTGATACAATGTACATACAAATATTGCAATAAAATATACAAACAATACAATAAAAAGTGGATTGCAAAATTAGAGAATACACAAGGAAAACACTATGATAACGTACAATAAAACAAAGATGACAAAAATTAAAGAACAATGGATCAAAACCAGAATAATATATATACAGTGAGTAGATTTATGTAGAAAATAAGGATTGGATTCATGTTTGTTTATTTGTTCTGTGGTCATTTGGAGGAGGAAAGGGCTCTGTTTTTATCATTTCTGTGGTCTTTCTTCTCTGGAAAAATTATTACCAATGGCAAAAGCTCTCCTGTGCTCCACCAGGACAACTTCGCACCTCTGAGCAGGGCCTTCCGCAGGTGCTAACCTGCAAATGGGCAGCATCAACAACTGTCAGTACACGTGTCCGGGGTCGGCGGCCTTACAGCATGCCTTCTCCGTGGTGGCCCCCACCTTATGGAACAGCCTGCCTGGGGAGGTCAGGAAGGCTCCCCCTCTCCTGGCTTTCCGCAAACTGTGCAAAACTGAATCATTCAAGAGGGATTTTCTATGCAGGCAATAGGGTTGCACTGTGCAAAATGATTCACAAAAGTACATGGCTAAATTATTAAGGACTGTGGTCTATACTGCTATGTATAGCTTGCTGTTAAGTAGGATTCTGCTGTGCAATTGTTGCATCATTTAATGTGTCATTTAATACTTAAGCTTTGCTTCAGAGTTCTGCTTTTAGGCTTCCGATTGGTTCTACAACCCTAATCCCTAATGCATTGTTTATTGAATGTCTCTTTCTGTTGGCTGTATTGACTCAGTCTGGGTAATCCACCTTGAGCCCACGTGAGAAAGGTGGGCTATAAGTAAAATAAAATAAATATTGGCTTCATCAGCAGACTATAAAATTGTCTTGTGACTTTGAGCCATGAAAAGGCCTCAGGGAAGGAGGAGACAGATCGTGGATTTCTAATGACCTGAACGTATTTTGATCTTCTTCTAGGTTCCACCAGTGCTCATAAAGGAAGAACACAAATTGCGCAATACCTGCCCAGATGCTCCCAAGCAAAGCGCGGTAAGACTTCTCATATCGCTCACATCTTGAAGAGGATGCAGCTGAGCCACAAATGCCATTAGAAATGGAACTCGCCGGCTTCCTTTTCTCATTTTTGTCACGGCCTTTTGATGGGCATCTCGGAAAGGCTCCTGTCAGTGAGACAGCTACTGCGATGTCCTGGATAAGACTGGCACACTGGAACCAGACTAGTCCAGATTCAGATCTTCTTGTCCATGGAGTTCACTTGGTGCCCTTGGGAAGGTACCAAGTGTGGCCTATTCCTTGGGGTGGCTTTGAGACTAAAGTGTGATCACTGAGTGAAAACTGCCCTGAGCTCCTGGAGGAAGAGCAGAGAAAAGAAATCCATTAACATTCAGCGAAGAGACTGAGTGTGGGTTGAGCAGCACCCAGTCTTTTTTTCTGGAATGTTTCCAGGATACGTGTGAAGGCACGATTGGATGTGGATGTCCATCTCACTTGAAACGTTTCTCCTTGTGGTGGGACAGTCCTGCTCTGGCCTGCAAGGCCTCTTCCACCGTGCCCTCCAAGGATGTCCCAACACCTGGAAAGCCTTGCCTTTCTCTCCAGTAACCCACCGCCACCACCTGACCTTTGTAGGAATTGCCCTCTGGAAGGGTCAGGAGCCAGACTCCCAGCTTCCCTTCCAAATTCTGAAGCCTTGCCTCTGTGTCTCCCGCTGCTCACGAGGACCGTTTACTGCCTTGTGCGCCACTGGGGGAATAGTTGCTTGTGACCTGACACCCCCCACCCCCCTCCTGGTACTCCTTTTAAAATAGCGTGTCCAGGATGGTGGAGGTCTGTGTGGTACAGAGAACCACTACGAGCATCAAAAGTTATAAAGTATTTATTAAAAAGAAAATGTTCACAAGCATACTTTTAGCACAGCACCAGGCTGAGCAAGGGATTCAAAAGAAACGGGTAAAATGCATTTCCTCTGTCCCTCTTAGATATTAAATACAGGACAGGCTCCTTAACTTAGGATGTTATAGATCTCTCCAGAGTTTCCATTACCTTGCAGCTTCCTTCAGCTGTCCCAGCCAACATATTTATTTATTTATTATTTATGTTTACATTTAAATCCCGCTCTCCCCGAAGGCTCAGGGCGGCTCACAAGGGGCATAAATGCCTGGTTAAAACAATGAACAATATAAAACAATATAAAACACAATATGCATAATACACTAAAAAATGTCGGTGCTCCAGAAATTACTTAACCGTAGATTTCAAGATGGGGTTCTGGAGGTTTTATACCAGAACAACACACCAACAACGTGCGTCCCAACTACGCTTTCATTTGCCACGGAACGTCTCACGCCCCCAATAATCCCCACTCCACCGATAGTCAAAGTGCGGAGATGAGGGGTGGTGATGGAATAGTGGTGGCGGCGGCTCCTACTCAAAAGCCTGGCGGAAGAGCTCCGTTTTACAGGCCCTGCGGAATTGCACCAGGTCCCGCAGGGCCCGGATCTCCTCTGGGAGCTCATTCCACCAGGTAGGAGCTGCCACCGAAAATGCCCTGGCCCTGGTGACAGCGAATTTGATGTTTCTGGGGCCTGGAATATCCAGGAGATCTTGATTCCCCGACCGTAGTGCCCTTGGGGGAACATGTGGGGAAAGGCAGTCCCTTAGGTAAGCCGGACCCTGGCCATGTAAGGCTTTAAAGGTAAAAACCAGCACTTTGAAGTGAATCTGGTACTCCATTGGCAGCCAGTGCAGCGCTTTCAGCACAGGCCGGATGTGGTCTCGTCTAGTGAGACCCATCGACAGCCTTGCTGCAGCATTCTGCACTAGCTACAGCTTCCGAATTTGTGACAGAGGCAGCCCCATGTAGAGAGCGTTACAGTAGTCTAGCCCCGAGGTAACCGTTGCCTGGATCACTGTAGCCAGGTCATCTCGGTTGAGGAAAGGAACCAACTGCCGCACCAGCCGAAGATGGTAAAAAGCCGACTTGGCAGTGGCTGCCACCTGGGCCTCCATCGTTAAGGAGGAGTCCAGGAGCACACCCAAACTCCTAACCTCCGGCGCCGGCACCAGAGGCGCCCCATTGAAGGTCGGGAGAGGGAGCCCCAAACCGATCCGACTCAGGCCCAGGACCTCCATCTTTGCCGGGTTTAGTTTCAGCCGACACAGTCTGAGCCAACCATATGGCAATGGCTGCCTCCTCCAGACATCAGTTAAGAGTTCTGTCTGCTTTGATGGAATCAGCACCAAAAGACCCCTCCTCTTTGCTGCAAGGAGTCTTTATAATTTCTCTTTCCCCACCGACCCAGTCAGGCTGGGACAAAGAGGCTTTTCCTGAAGTCTGCAGAAGTTTCTTCCTGAAGTTAATACCTCCAAATCTCTGTTCCCTGCTGGTTGAGGGGGACTGGACCATCCCATTGTCTTTAGCTGGACCTATTAGCATTTCTTAAGAGGTAGCTGAGGTGAGGTTGGAAAGCCATTGAACTGACTTCCCCCTTCCTGCCTGTTCTCTGCCCAGGAAGAAAAACTTTTAAAACCTCTGGTAAAGGTTTCTCTCAGGTCAGACCCCTACCCCAAAAATTCATGTCTTCACACTCTTTAACAACGGAGGATGTGTTCAAGTAGAGAACACTGCACAGTTTATGTGTGTTTTGACTGCCAAAGCCACGTGGTTTGCAGATTGCCCTGCTTGAAGTTATACTTACTTTCAGAAGGGAAGATCATTTTGGAACACCAGCCGACAACCAGCCAATCCACTATTATAAATGTTCTGTAGCTGTTATTTTGATAACTCAAGTACTTTCTTTTTTCCCTCAGATTGGAGAATCCATTGGAGACAGTACTAGTTCCGTTTTGGATTTTCTGTCTATGAAGCCATACGATGTATCACTTGAGATATCCATGTTGAGCTCCTTGGGTAGGTTGTTGTCATGGAGTTGCCGAGTGTGGAAGGTACACTTCAGTAGTACATATATCGTCTGCTGCTGGACTTGGTTTCTTCTAGGCCCAGCCAAACATGTTACAGCTACAAGCCTGTTAATACAACATTCTTCTGGTGCTAGTTAGAGAAGTTATACAGTTGATGTGCACTAACAAATTAATGCAGCCATCAGCCTAGAAGCTAATTTCAACAGCCAATCCATATGCAAAAGAACCTCCGCAGGAAAGTTCCTCCATTAGCCTGTTCACAGCCTGGGGGACACCTACAAGAGAATGACTCAGCCCTATCCCACCTTCCTGAGTAGATATAAATTACCTGCCTACCATTTTTCTTCTCACCTTGACAAAGAGAGTACTCCATCTTTCTGTGTTATACCTCTGAGGATGCCAGCCACAGCTGCTGGCGAAACATCAGGTCTTACAATGCCAAGACCACGGCAATACAGCCTGGAAAATCTACAACTAAAGCCTAAGAAGCATTGAGACACCTCTAGCCTCCCAAAAATATGCTTAATGCTTTTAGGAGACTGGATTTATGTTGGTTTATTTTAACTGAGTAAAACAGGGGTCTCCAGCATGGGGCCCCCTGATACCTTTTTTGGCGCTCGCCGAGTGTTTTTAAAAAGTGAGGGGGGCCAAATGGGGCTTTGCCCAGTTAGGTTTTTGATTGGCCATTGTAGACATGATTGGCAGGGCAGGTTTTTTTAAAAGCTGCCACCACAGTACAAGGATCATCACTTTCATGACTGAAGGTAAGCTGCAGTGGCCATTTGGGGGCTCCGCCTCCTGAGGCAGCCATTTTGGGGGCTGTGCCGACCACGCTGTCTCAGAATTCTGAAGGTGCCCGCAGGTTCAAAAAGGTCAGGGACCCCTGGAGTAGAATCTAACAGTGGCTGAGCTGCAGACCAGAAGGTTGGCAGTTCGAGACCCGAGTGCCGCATGACGGAGTGAGCTCCCGTCTCTGGCCCCAGCCCCTGCCAACCTAGCAGTCCGAAAGCAAGAAATTGCAAGTAGATAAATAAGTACCGCTTCAGTGGGAAGGTAACATGACCACGGAAGAAGTCTTCGGACAGTGCTGGCTCTTTGGCTTGGAAACGGAGATGAGCACTTCCCCCTAGAGTCGGATTCGACTGACTTTCAAGCAAGGGAAACCTTTACCCTTACCTTACAGAATAATCACTCTTGTCTAGAGTAGTTGTTAAAGGCTAAAAATGCATTTTACATTAGTCCTCATTTCTGCTGTGTTACACAAGTGCAGTATTTTGAATTGGGGTTAGTGTTATCTTTGAAAGTGAGCCACAGTGGCCCCCCCCCCCCCCGTGTAATGCTTTTTGCATAATTTGTCTTCGTTGATCAATGCAAGAAGTAATTAAAACTTACAGTGATAGTGGTGATGCTTAGATTCACAACATACATAAAGGTTGACAAATGAATGAATTTTGCCTGGTTTGTACATTTGATTATTGTGACTTTTGGACGGCATTTCTTGAAACAGCAGATTTTGAACATAAACCCCAAGTACTCAGATTTGCCCTAATTTACAGTGAAATGCTTTGGCATACTGACTTGGAAAGTATTCCGTTAAACTTGCATGTTTCACAGTACACCTCATTAAGCTCCAGGCAGCAGTCTTTTAAATGTCAGTGAGAGACTAAAGCAAATGTGCTACTTCTTTAAAGAGTGTACGTGTATTGGGCAGTCACTGGTTCTGCAGTGGAACTGCAGATAATGTGGACCAGGAGAGCAAATGTCCAGAGACCGCCACAGTGCAGTCCTGAGCCGAGTTCCACTCTTCTGAGTCCACTGAAGTCAGTGAGCTTAGAAGGGTGGAACTCTGCTTAGGATGACACTAGTGGTCTCCAGTTACATTTGGAAACTGCCACTTAGGTAGATGTGGGGGGGGGGGGAGCTGGCTTCTCCCGTCGTAGCTGGCCACCCACTCCATTTACTTCCTTTGCACTTAATCATGGCCTTCAGGTCTCCAAGTCAGAGGGCTTCTCTGCATTCTCATTTTCCTCACTTGCATGTTCCAGCTACGGTGTAGTGGTTAGGAGGGCGGACTCTAATCTGGGGAGAACCAGGTTTGATTCCCCACTCCTCCACATGCAGCTGCTGGTGTGACCTTGGGTCAGTTACAGTTTCTTTCAGAGCTGTTCTCCCATGTTCCCCAGAGAGCACTATGATCAGGGTCCCAAAATCGTTTTTGACGAGGGCCAGGGCCTTCTCAGTGGCGGCTCCATACTGGAGGAACAAGCTCCCGGACGACATCGGGGCCCTGTGGGACCTTTTACAGTTCTGCTGGGCCTGCGAGACGGAGCTCTTCCACCAGGCCTTTGATGAGTGAGCCACACTTAACCAACTGAGGCCCTGGCCCCAACACAAGTACCACCATTGACAGCCTGTATACGCCGATATGACCCAGACTGAGTTGCCTGCCGACTGTACTTCCAGGCTACTGACGCCTCGCCATTCCCATACGAGATGCACTAGCACTTTATGTATTGTTTTTTATACTTTTTATATTTATATTCAATTCTCTGTATTATCTGTTTAAAGGAATTTTATGTGAGGCGCCTGAGCCTGCTTCGGCAGGGAGGGCAGGATACAAGTCCAAGAAATAAATGAACTGGGAAGAGCTCTCTCAGCCCCGCCTACCTCCCAGGGTGTCTGTTGTGGGGAGGGGAAGGGAAAGGAGATTGTAAGCCGCTCTGGGACTCCTTCAGGTAGTGAAGGGCGGGGTTATAAACCCAGTCTCTTCTTCTTCCTGTTGCCGTGGGGGTTTTTCCCCTGTTCTACGCATATCATGTTCCCTCTAATGGTCAATTTGATATTGCATAAAAACCTGCAATTTAAATCTGCAGGAAAGATATGCCAGACATATCTGTGATGTATGCGATGTAATATCGAATCAACCACTAGAGGGAGCAAAAGACGTGCAGCACAGAAAAAAACCCTCCCCCCAAAGCGACAGGAAAACCTAGCGAGGAAAATAAGGATGCAAAAAGGCCCAGATGCTAATAGCCAGGTAGGCTGCGACATCTCTAAACTGAGCACTGCTTGGGAAAAGTGAGTCTCAGTGGCATATATGGATCTCCATCGCTTCCTAAAATTGCTTCTATGTTTTACGATAGATAGATAGATAGATAGATAGATAGATAGATAGATAGCTCAGACATATTTTAGAGGCCGTTGGATCCTCATTAGTAAGGAAGGTTTGCTGCTTCTGACTTGTTTATCTTTCAGACCATCAGACAAGAGCATCTGTTTAAATAGATATGTATATGTTTTTGTTGAGCTTTAATGTAAAAAGAATGTTAATAGGGTAGGGGGAAATAGCGAATTCCTTTAAGGTTTAGTTTTCTGATCATTCATCCAAGAATCCCAGTTCACAGTCAATGGTCTGTCGCCCAGGTAAAGTAAAGAAGGAACTCGAGCACGATGACAGTCACTTACACTTGGACGAAACGACTAAGCTCCTGCAGGATCTTCACGAGGCTCAGACCGACCGGGTAGGATCCAGGCCTTCCTCCAACCTCAGTTCCCTCTCTAACGCTTCCGAAAGAGATCAGCATCACCTAGGTAAGTCTCATTTTTACACTGTGGCCCCCTGAACTTCCTTCGTTCCATTTAAGACAAAGCCATTTGTGAGATCCCAGGCTGTTGACTGCATTGACATCAGTAGCAAACTGGCCACCAGCTAGTTCTGGTTTACGTACCTACCTCACAGGATTGTTGCAAAGGCAAAAATCAAACAGCCCTATGTACATGGAGAGTCCTGAAGTCCTTGAAAGAAGGGTAAGGCACAAATATAAATAAATTAAGACAACCAAGTTCGCTTTGGCATTGATTTATTTTTAGTTAAAGCACATAGCCCACTTTGCTCTATGTTCAGCGCAGCTAACAATTCAGTTATTAACACAACTGTGAAACAAAATTACAGACAAAATCACAAACAAGACTAGTCACAGGCACAAAACCAATCCAAATGCCTGTTCACATAGATTTGCAATACATTGGTGCTTCAGAATTTAAAAAGGGGCTGTGATGCACTGTCCTCAAGGAATTATTCCAGGGCCTTGGGGCCACCACATAAAAGGGTCTGCTCCTGCCCACCTTTGGTCTCACACTTCTTTTCATAGAAGGGTCTGAGCGTGGGTCATAGAATCATAGAGTTGGAAAGGAACCCCAGGGTCATCTAGTCTAACCCCCTGCACAATGCAGGAAATTCACAAAGACCTCCCCCTCCACACCCCCAAGTGACCCCTGCTCCATGCCCAGAAGAGAGCCAGTTTGGCTTAGTGGTTAAGTGTGTGAACTCTAATCTGGGAGAACCGGATTTGATTCCTCACTCTTCCACTTGCACCTGCTGGATGACCTTGGGCAAGTCACAGTTCTGACAAGAGCTGTCCTTGAAAGAGCAGTCCTTGGAAGAGCTCTCTCAGCCCCACCTACCTCACAGGGTGTCTGTTGTGGGGAGGGGAAGGGAAAGGAGTTTGTAAGCTGCTCTGAGACTCCGAGCGGAGGGCAGGGTATAAATCCAATCTTCTTCTTTCTTCTTCTGACAAAAAACCTCCAGGATTGCTTCCTGACCCCAAAGTGGCAATCAGCATTTCCCTGGGCATGTAAAAAAGGGCCACAAGAACTAAGCACCAGTGTTCCCTCTAAGCTGAGTGAGTGTGAGCTAGCTCACAGTTTTTTAGCCTCCAGCTCACACATTTTTGTCTTAGCTCAGGAAGGAGGGCTCCAGAGCAAACTGATTTATGCAGTAGCCAAATCGCTCGCTCACAGCTTTAATGCCAGGAGCTCACAAAGTAGAATTTTTGCTCACGAGACTCCACAGCTTAGAGGGAACATTGCTAAGCACTGAGGCAACCCTCCCTGCCCTCCCTTCTCATGATCTGCCTCAGTTCACAGAATCTGCATTGCTATCAGATGACCATCTAGCCTCTGTTTGGAAACCTCCCAAGAAGGAGAGCCCACCACTTCCCGAGGAGGCCTGTTTTACTGAGGCACCGCTCTGTCAGGAAGTTCTTCCTAATGTTTAGCCAAAACCTCTTCTGATTTCATTTCAACCCATTGGTTCTGGTCCAACCTTCTGGGGCAACAGAAAACAACTCCACACCATCCTCTAGATGATAGCCCTTCATCTTGTAGTTCATTGGGCTTGGTGAATTTGTTACTGTAAACTTAAAGAAAACATTGGCATTTCTGGAGTAACAGTAAGTCATTCTGCTTTTTTTTTTTTTTAATACAGGAAGTCCCTCTCACCTAAGTGTAGAAGAACAACAGGACATGGTCCATGACCCCTATGAATTTCTTCAGTCTCCAGAACCTACAAATGCCAACAACAACTAGTCTCATGCGTGCTGTTTATGTCTTGAAACTAGCATGTTATATAGCGTTCCATCAGATAGTATGCATTTCAATGTGTTCTCTTTGTGTGTGAGGACTGCTATGTAATAATGTGTGTGCACATTTGTAAATTGTACTCCCATAGCTAGTAGTATCATGGTATTCACACCATGCCTCATGCAATACGTTCTGGAAACAGTTGCGTACGATAACTCTAAAGGCCACAGATGCAAATTACGTATTTAAGAAACCGTATTAAAAAATGCTAACCTGCTGTCTATCATGCTGTCAGTCATGGAAAGTTTTATACTACGGCCATACAGAAGCTTCTCCAAGGGACTAAGTCCCAGAATGACAGCTGCCTTCCTGGTCTCTCTTCTCCTCAGAGTTGCTCATTGTCGAGATTGTCCAGACAAAGTCATGAACACTTCAGAACTTCTTAATTTTGCATGCAAAAATACATGCCATAAAACCGAGGACTTCTTCACTACCAGAAATTCAGTCTCTGCCAAATTATCCACATTCTAAGTGTTGTATATATGAGTACACTTGTACCTGTATAAAGGGGCAAATGTTTGTGTAGTTTTTAAATGAAGTATTTGAAATTTGATATAGAATGACCTTTTTTTACAATTGATATTATGTGTAAACTAGAATTAGTTGCTCATGAAGAGTGTTGTAAATATTAATAAAACTCAAAATGTACTTGCGGTGTTTCCAGTATCTATATATCTTTGCCAAGTGGCCCCCGGAGTGCGGATCGCTAAATCAGCGCTCCGAGGGCACTTGGGGGGGAGGGGGAGGTTTGTGCACTCTTGGGGCAGTCCCCAGGGGTGCACAAAAATCTAAAAACTAAAAAAAAATATTGGGGGGATGTTTAAATCCCCCCGAAAGTGCAAGAGCGTTCCGTGCGCCTGCGCACGGAACGCTCTACGAACGCCAACGCCGCCGCTGCTTGGAAGGCAA